AAAGAGTATGAGGTGCTGAATCGACCTGCTATGAAAAAGCTGTATAGTACAAGTCATAAGCTTATCTCATATATAATTATATCACTAAGCCCTTTGGTGTAAGATCATCATGGATTCCTACATGGTGACCACTGAACTTTGACTTAGTCAAAAGTCATCTTTGATCGGGTGATCATAAAGGCTATGATTGAATTTAGTGATATTCATGCAGAGGAATATGAGTGGTCAAGATGAAATTTGTCTATTACATTAAGTGAGAGATATTACTGGGCCTCTCGATGAGTAAGACTGAGAAAATGTATGGCCATACTACAGTGAAAAGGGTTTTTTTATTGCTACTGTCGGTCTATTCAGAGATCGAAAAAGTAACGGTTAGGTAAAGGAGAATGAAAACTCCATGTCTTATACTTGACCGAAATATTGCGTGACAAAAGGAATGTGATATAGTTGTATGATAGGTTACATTGAATCATTGATCCTCATGTGAACTGGGTAGTTGCGTTGTCTTGTTAGAGGCCACTTGTAACTTGTGGGCTAATAATATAATTAGCCTACTGCTAATTTCATATGAGCCTATAGGGTCACACACAGAAACAGCCTGACTCGAGCTATAATGTCCAAGTTCATTGAATTTAGAATATGTCTAGATTCAATGAATGTAATATAAAGTAAATGAATTATATATATATATATATTTAAATATTTATTTGATAAATATTTATATATATCCATATATGTATATATATGATATATGTATATGATATATAAAATTAAATATAGATAATATATATATATTTGAAATATATATGTATATATATATATATTCGTATATATATAATATAATATGTATATGTGATATATATTATATTATATTATATCATGTTAGTTTTAAATTTAATTTTATATGATAGATTAAATTTAATAACTAACATAATAAGAGAGAACATCATGTCAGTTTTATAATTTAAATTTATAAGATAAATTTGAATGAGATATGATATTATGGATTATATTTATGAGATAAATTTAATTAAATTTTCATGAGCTTTTAAGTGGAAGATAAAAACCTTTATCTACATATTATATGTAGATAAGGACATTCTTATGAAGGAAGAGAGAGTTAGAAAAGTTCTGACGGGAAAAACACTTTAAGCGTCATGAAACACCATATAGAAAGGAAAATTAACATTCAAAGAAGAACGGACACTGAGAGTGCTAGCACACTGTTTGAGTTAGAAAACTGTTTGTGTGGATACCAGTAGAGGGAGAAGATCTATGTTGTCAGCTCTTAAGATCGAAATGTGCGCCAACTTCAAAGAATTAAAAAGTAACTCTTCTATCCACATTGACTTAAACAAGTTCGTTCAGTCCATATCAAGATAAAGACTTTAGAATTTCAATCTTCCGGTACGCCTCCCTATCCAATAAATTACACTTATGCCTTACAAATTACAACTTGTTCAGATATATGTGTGTGTACTATAGAATTTTTGCTATGGAGCCAGGGTTGTCTAAATTTACAAACCTAATCCCGTAGTACTCGATCGAATTAAATTGCTTTTATAGTTCTATTAAACTTGGTACATTACCCTGTATATTACAATTGTGTCAAACTCTTTGGGTTAAAAGCAATGGATTTGTTATGGCCGAATAGAAATCATGTTTTTGTGTGTGTGTGTGTGTGTGTGATGAGATAGAGAGAGATAGGGAGAGAGTTTATATGAAAATCTGTAGAATTAATTGAGAAGGCACTTATACACTTAATCAAGACGAAAAAGAAACAGGAATGTTGAAAATGAGAAATGAATACTTCATGGATCTCATAGAAAACTTAAAAATTTAACCACTAGCTTGGCACATAGAAATGGGATTTACCCAAGTCTCCTCACAGTTTTGCCATACAATAAAGGGTTTGTTTGTTTTTTTTACCCTGAAGACAAAATATCATTAAAATAAAAGAGGACAAAGAAAGCAATGGAGCTTAATAAAAGCCACAAAAAAAGCCCACACAAAAAACCCTAACTCTAATCAGCATATCAAAGGTAAGCCTTCTTGCAACTGTTGTCAATTGTTTACTGGAACCCAATAGAAGGAAAACACCAAAGGCAACAAGGCTATATAAGGTGTGGAGCTACCCCTTTTATCGGCAAAGATGCAGTCAAAAAGGTTGTAAAAGATGAGTCATAAGAGGAACCTATAGCAACAAAACATTCATAGATGCCAGTGAATCAAGGTAAACAAGAAGGGGGAGTTAGATTCAGTAATAACATCATGAAATAGATATTGATTGTTATCACTATAGTGAAGGAGGTTAAGAGTCTTGACACAATCAATGAACACTTGGATCTATTGATATCTCCTTTCTCAACATAATGAAGACCAAAGAGGATATCAAATAGTTCAGTGTGGGCTATATGACACGTTCCCACAATTTTTTATTTTTAAGCATAATTATTGTAATTAATCAATTTTCTTAAATTGTATATTGTTGATTAAAATCTTCTTATGTTTGAAAACGTATGGAGTAGAAATTACCCAATTTCATGGTTGTTAAGAAGTGATAGTTGATTAATGTTAAAATGATCATTACAAAGTGTTGTATAAATTATCTAATTTCATAATATGTTTGTGTTAAAAAAAAATTCTGCTATTAGGTGGGGTTTGGTGCTGATATTATTGTCTTTTTCAACTGATTTTTAAATTTTTACTTGAACAACTTAATTGTTTATATTTTCATTATTTTATTTTTTTAAAAGAAAATTAGATGCAGAATTTTTTTTTTTGAAATGTAAAAGCTTAATATGAAAAGAGGAAACAATGACAAATTATTGCATGGATCCAGTGCATCAATTATCAATGTTCTATTTAATAAAATTGTACTAGTTCAATCATATTAAATCTTATCTATCATTATTTTTAATGACTTTATTTTTAAAATAGGGTGACTTTTTTATTTATTTCCTTTTCTTGCCATCATTATTAATGACATATTTAATTTATATTTATAACCATTTGACATGATATGTTTTTATTAAATAGAGCATAAATGATATGTTGCATCAATTTCATACAAGAATTCATCAACCTAAACTATCCAAACTAAATTTAAAATATTTATATTTTTTTTTTGGAATAAGTTAAAGTCTTAGCTCTGTACATATATCCCCATGCATTGTTTGCTTGAGTATAAATAATGAGTTGCAAGCATTGTTCATCATTCACAAAAGTGAGCTTTTCAAAAGTTTACTAATATTATATATAATATTGATATTATTTTGTATTGAATAATGATATTGGTTATTATGTATCGATAGCACCAACTTGATGCTGTATTTTCCACGTGAAGAAATCTATTATGAAAAATGAGTCTAGATTTTATATTGTCTTGTATCTAAATATAGTGTTTTATTACTTTCATAATATGTTTGTGTTTAGAAAAGTGGACAAAAAGTAAATAAACTTGAAATGGAAAAGATAACTAAAATTGGTTCTTTATTATTATTATTATTATTTTTAAGAACTCATCAAGAAGAGAGAGTTGTCTTTATCTTGCAGAAATGGGAATACTCACGTTCTCGGAATGAGCACTCCTTTGCAATGGCTGTGACTTAAAGCGAAGTTATCAATCCTTACGTGGCCTGAAGCAGAGCCAATTTGACTCCAGTCAGATATGACAAGCTAGTCACTTCTCATTCTATTTACTTGCCGTAGTATTTATCGGCTAGTATTTTTTTAATTAAAAACCACAAATGCTAATGCAAACCCAATTTACACGAGGATACATTCGCTAACCTTCAGTTCAGATCCGTAGGAAGCATGTCCCGGAATTTATGAGCCACTTTGTTTTCTATTTTTAAAAATTATTTTTTGTTTTTAAAAATAAAAAAATTAAAAACTTGTTTGAATAAACATTTTTCATTAAATTATTTCTAAAACTTTTTTTATTTTTTATTTTTAAAAATAAAAAATAGAAACAACTTCAAGTTATTTTTATTTTTAAAATACACCACATTTAATTATTAAAAATTATAATTATCTTAATCAATTTTTATTATTAATTACCGTTATTCATTACCTATAATCATTACTATCAATCCATTTTTAATTATAAAACTGTTTTTGAATTAACATGACCTAACTGATTTTCATTTTATTTTGCTTTAAAAAGCAATTTTAGTTTTTAAAAATAAAAAATAAGAACAAAAACCAAACAAGCCCTATGTTTCTCAATCAAATGTTTAACAAGTGTTTTTTTTTCCCCCAAACTGACTATATGTAACCCAAATTAAGGACACACACACACACACACAGATATCACAGCTCTTTGGAAGTAGCTTCTATGAAAGTTAGTGATGAGTTAAAATGTTTAAAAATCTTGAAATTCAATGGCTTGGCTATTAGGATTAAATAGTAAATTAACTCTTAAATTATAAGTCTAAAAATATTTGGGGTTGTAAACTTTTTTTTTATTTTTTATAATTGTTAGATCAATTAGCAATCAAAATTATTTGATACTGATAGAGACAATATTGCACTATTGTGAAATATTAAAAGAAAAATATTATATCAAAAATAAGTTTAAAATATTAATCTCTTTTAGACTTATAATTTAGGAAGAAATTTATCCTTTAACCTAGACATTACTTTACATTTTTAATTAGAATGTGCGAAGAGAGACTCTAAAGTAATAAAACTTTTTTTTCTTCATAATAGCTACTAAAACGAAAATATGCATCAATTATTATATATGTTTATAAAAATTGGAATAATTATTGAATGAATAAAAACAATTTATCAAACAAATATATATATACATACATATACATACATACATATCCACTGCGGATCAATGTTGGATGCATGACATGAACCAAAAGGATGCTTCCCATTAGAAGAGCAAGCACCATAATTCCTTGCAAACGCAGAAAACATGCTATGTAACCTGAAACATAAAAAGGCTACTCCATAATAATAATATACATGCTTCACAACATGAAACATAGAAATGCTAGTCCATAATATATATGTACACAACATTAGTAGCAAAACACCATGCACGAAATAACAGGAACACTATGTAGAGAGAGAGAGAGAGAGAAGAAAAGAAAAGAAAAGAACTTCAGCAGTTCCATCACTGAGTGCTCATGAAGCTGAAAATCTTATCTTTTGATTACGGAAGAGGGGAAACTTGGCTATTCTAACGTGAAATACACAGAAATGGAAGCAGAAGGAAGAGAGGAGAGGGAAGGGGTATCCATGTTATGGAAGAATAATGCGCAACAAACCTATTCAAAACTTCCAGATAACATGGAAGGAAGAATAGTCCAACCGGTCTCCACATCTGACCTCGAGATAAGAATGTGATGACAAGTGTAGTTGTATAAATCCCAGCATCATTCTCATATAAACCATAACTGGTGGTTGATCATGGGGCTGATCCCACCTGAACTGCCATCCTCTCTGAGACATCAGCCAAGGAGCTTAAATTGCACCTGATCAAGGCCTCCACAAAGTAGCAAGTTTCATCTCTGGTGTTCCCATCAGGCACATCCACCATAAATGATTCAATCACCATCGTTCCAGGTCTCCCATCAATGACCTCCGGATGGACAGTGATTATGGAGGAGTAGTTCTGCAGATTCCACATACACAATTGGGTTAGCATTCATTCAGCTTACAAAATGATGAGCAGAACCGAAAATTCATCTCTTAAAGTTTATTTTAAAGTGATCCACACAAAGTGATTCTGATGGAACATCAGATGCTAAAATGCACAGAATATCCAAATTTTATACATTTATAGTTTAGCTCTGATAATTGGTTTTGCAGCGAGCCATAATACAACTGCAGGAGGGGAAAGATTATCTCAGTTCACAACTTGATACTCATAAGTGACTAGGTCATTATGCAGGCGCAGAAGCTGACAAGATAAAAATCCTTATAACATAACCTGCTAAGGTACTGAGCAATATTGTAATATTCCACCGATCAACAGAACACTATAGCTTTGATCAATGCGCTTAACAACAATGATGGTTCTTCTTCTACATTTTCTTTTTTGGATGATGAAATGGTGGTGGTTACAATTTAAGCACCATACTGCCTTTCCCTTAGTAAAGCTCCAAGACCTAAGTGAATTTTTACTACCATATTAACAGCATGTGAATATTCAATTCCCCAACTTTGACAATAAGTTCAATGACGAACAAACATGGGTAATTTTCTATTCAATCTCCTATCCTAATTATCTAGGTAATATACAAATTGGCATACCCTCAGCCTATGGTCACCACCAACAATCCTAATGCCAAGAATGTGTTCCTCATCATCAAGTTGCTCCAGCATCTCGGTGCTGGTTGTAGCAGGAAGGCCAGATTTAACATTTACTTCTCTAACACTCCCAATATCAAGATCCCCTTGCACGATACATCTACTAACAAAAGGTTTATACTTCTGCGGTTGATCAAATCTTCTAACCAGCGACCAAACCTGACACAAAGGAAACATAGTTGAGTCAGATGCTCTGTCATCTAAATTTAATCTTCTGCAACAAATTCTTCACGTCATAAACATATGCCCAAATACACGAGGACGGTCAAAATCACGACTTTGAACCTCCGTTGACTGTCGGACTGAACATAAAAGATGATCGGGATTGATCAAGAGTTAAGAACTTAAAATAATTTTGTTTTACAATGCAAGGTATCTTGGAAACAAGTCCGCAAACAGTTTAGTGGTAAGATCATAATAGAAAGGTGAAGAATTCTCCTAGTGCCAGATTCACTTTTGCCTAGGCATTTTCATCCATATCCAGGGAGTGGCGTAGCTGTTTAGATTTTACTTCTTATTATACCGTCGCAGCCTGCAGGTTCTATACAAGCAAAAGACTTTAATCGGAAAGGGAAAAGTAGACAGGATAAGCTATCAAGCAAGACGTAAAAATATAACCTCCAGAAATATAAAGCTAATTAAGGCTTCCAAAACTCGATGATTAACATGGGAACACGAGTAAATTCTTCCAACAAAAGGAGTACACTTCGCCCCAGAGTATTTCATAACTAAAAATTACTTCATGATATCAATCTAAACGAATGAAACTACAACCCAAAGTCAAGAATAACCCTCCAGCTCGAAAGAGGCGAGAGGAAGTCGCTCGGATCCCCGAACAAAAATAAAAGTCAAACCCCGGGAAAAATGGTTCGACTCTCAGCAAATCACCCCCACACAGCAACACCGAGAAGGAATCCCAGTTCAGATTTCAGAATTACAAGTAAATCCCCTGGTCTTAATCCCGAGGAATCATATTTGAGCGACTCACAAGGTGAACGGGAGCCCTTATGTGTTTAACTAAAGCTGAAGTGCACTGGTTCTCCCCGGGCTCATGCCTGTGGTGCCTCCGTATGTACTGCATCTCAATCACGCCGTAGGATTCCCTGACGTTGTTCATCTCGATCGTTGAACCAAACTTTCAGATATCGCAGAGGCCTCCTTCCGGAGAAGAGGAAAAGGGATATGCTTTGGTATGTTAGGTTGCAGACGGAGGAGTGCAAAGGCAAGAAGCAAAGCAACGGTGATTGGTGATAGAAGAGGCACAGTGAGAGGCTAAGCCTCGCTTTTCTTCTTCCTCTATTATTGTTTTTTAATATATATTTTCACCTATGAGGCTTAGTTTAGCTTTACAAGAATATATAGATGAAAACAAAACTTATAAAACTGAGGTCGTGAATTTTTATATACTTTTTTATTTTCATGTTTTCATATTTTTATTATATATTACCTCAGAATTTATTTATACTTAACAATTTTTAATTAAACTTTAACTTGTAAATTATTTTTTATTATAAATTTTGTGATTATTTACATGTTAAGTAGTTGTGTTCGAAACACTTTCGGTCCCTTATATTAATTATTATAAATTATTTCTTGTAAATAGGTTTGGAGATAATAGTATATCCTTATATTATCTACCAATGTGTCACAAAATGGCAATTGGTTGCTTTACAAAACCAAGAAAAACTATATTTAACTTAAACAATTTTCTATAAATGGTATAAAAAATTAATTATGGATGAAATATACTTATTAGCATTTTTGGCCCATGACATATAGTTATTAGTAATGACTTATGTTGATAAATATTGTAATATGGGATGGGATGGGTAAGGGGAAAGATGCTAGTATGATTTGTGACTACCACTCATCCTTAAAGTGGATGCCTGTTCTCGAAAGTCAACCCTTGAAAGTAGGACTGAGGAAATACATCCGGGTGATTAGGTTTTTGACATTTTTATGGTAAAGTATTTTATCATCAAGCAAAGTCCTTTCCTCTTTGGGCCCAGGCAGCTGAGTCCACATTGTGGGAATATATATCATCAAAGTGAAATCCATGTCCATGTTCCTCTCCTGTTTTCTTTTGCTTTTCTCCATTTATCTTTTTTATAATTCTAAAAAAGAATTTCAACGGAAGATTTCTGAAAAAATTTAATATGCTTCTATCATTTTTTAAAAATTAAATATTAAAAAATAAAAAGTATTTTTATTATTTCAAGATGTAATTAATATACTTTTATCAAAAGTTTCTCTAATAAATAAATGACTTTATATTTATTTTAAAATAAAACATCCTATTAAGTATGAGTAAATATAGAACGATAATATTGTGTATAAAAAAAAGAAAGAAAGAAAGATAGTGTTAGTTTAAAGATAACTAACTATTTTATTAGAAAGTGTGGTTCAATTAAAAATATTTTATATTTTTTAATGAAATGAGTATTTGATAAAATCTAGGCAAATGGATACTTGTTAACACAAAAATTTAAATTATTAATTGTCAATGCTTACTTTTTAGAAGTCTTTCTGTGAAATTAAATTGCTTCCAGGTCCTTTGTTGATATGCCCCCTAAAATAATATTAATTTTCAAAACCCTCACCCAACAATTTAATCCCATTTTTATTTTTCAAATAATATATTACCAAAAAAAAGCTCTTTAATATCTTTTATCTTATACTATTTTATAAAATAATTTATTTTTTAAACATAATTTACATAAAAAAATTGAAATATGACCATGAAAAAGTTTATTTAATTTTAATGCTATACTTAATTAGCCGTAAGATACTGTCCTCTAATAATGATTGAAAGGAGAAGCAAAAACAAAAATACAGTAGGACATGCACTTCAAATAGATTGAAGGTTTATACTTTATATAATTAAGACAAGACATAAGGATACTCAGAACATTTTATTCTAAATATAGGGCATACACATATCTAAATATGCATGTGAGAAAGAAGGACCTGGCTTCTGTACTTTTATAAAACATCTATTTATTATCTTATTAGTAGCACAACTTATTATATGTTATATATAAGTAGTAAAGGTGGAACGCTTGTTTATTGCTAGAAAAAAAAAATTGAAAGAAATAGAGTTATCATTTATCAAGCCTTCTTTTTCACTACCTTAACACAGCTTCGTTTGTTAGGCATATTCGTGGAATGTTCTCTAAAGACAGATGCCTTTCAGATGCTTCAATGCATGAATTCAGACTCTTTAATGTGAGTATCAAAAGCAAAATTTATTTTTTAAAACTAACTTCAATTAAAAACTGTACTTCAAAATATTCTTTTAAAAATAAAAATTAGATTTCTGACTGGAAAAAATATTGGTTTGTTTATGTTTAAGAAATAATGAAATAAATGAATTTTAAATGTTATGAAGATTTAAAAAAGTGATTCATTGGTATAAATATTTTTTTAAAAAAATATGTTTTCTTTAAAATCTTAAAAGTAATTTATTATTTAGTGATTTTAATATTTTATAATATTTTCATTTGTTGTATTTCCATTAATGAAAATATCGGTTTTTAAGTTCAATGAATAAATGGCTTTTAAATGCTTCAGATGCTTTTCAAAAAAATATTTTATTGTTTGGAAATTTTATAAGAAAATAATTTTTTTGGGGTTGTTTACAACCATTAAAAATGATTGATTTTTTCCGGTAAGAAGCAAAGTAAAAAGCTTGTGTGAAGTAATAGGCAAGGGCATTTGCAGAAATTAAGTGCATCGCAGAACAAATCTATTTGATATAATAACAACTTTTAATCATTTTTCTTTAGACGTACGATTATACTTTGTGAAATTAATAATAGTTGTTACTCCTTTCATTTAAAAATATCAAACATTTTGAATCGAATCTCATCCCAATAAAGTAATTATTTATTTTTAAACTAACTTATTTTTTTATATTTGCCTCTATTAAATACCCTACAATAAATATAGAGTCATTATTAATAAGGGTTCTTTTAAAAAAAAGTAATAATTACTCCTCAAAAGATTTATATTTTTAACATTTAACATTTTAAAAATGCCTTATATTTTTTAATGGAAGGAATAAATATAAAGTCATTATCAATAAAAATACTTTTAAAAAAAGGTAATAATTACACCTCAAAAGATTAAAAATATTTTATATTTTTTAATATCTAACTTTTTAAAAAATATTTTATATTTTTAAATAGAGGGAGTATATATAAACAGTCCTCCTTATCTTAATTATAAAGTAAACTTTAAAAATCCTACTTGATCCTAGATGTAGGGTGAAGGTGCAGTAGTTAATCCTTGCTTTTTTTCTAAATTCAATGATATTGTTATTTAATGGAAGGCAATTTAAGAAAGATGTCACAAGTGCTTTTGTTTTTTTTTTTTAATCGTTACTTTGCTTATACAAACAAGAAATTGTAAAGTTTTGCTCGTATTAAAAAATAGAAGGAGAGGGAGTATACATTTGATATCTCATCCAGGGATAGAGATATTTTGAAGAGATAAAGCCGGAATTTACATCAACTTTTCCCGCGAGGGTGATTGATTTGGTTGGGATCAGCGCAAACATTTGGCTGCCAATTGGTGCGTCTTTTAAAGTGATCAACAAGCATTTCATTTCTAGCTATTTATTTGAATGATAAATTATTTCTAAACATCTCTGCTTTTGTTTGCATGTTGTGTACCCAAAAGAAAAGGCAAACAAATGCAATTACATTATATAATTAAGCAACAATTAATTTAATTCAGAGACAATTTAACAATTATATATGCGTACGTATCTTGTGTGTGGTAACTCTTAGTCAGTTTGACCACAATACTACACACAGAAAGAAAAAATTATTTACCCACATACTGTACATTCCAAAACATTTCCCCATATATAAATTTAAAACTCAGTTTGAATCACACCGAGATCCAATTTTTCAAACTCAGTTTAAAAAGATTTCACTGAGGCATAATATCAACAAATTTAATGGCAACCATATTTGAACATAATTGATGCCAAATCAATTCCATTAAACAATGAGTTACATAACTTGAAATCTTGAATCTCCCAGGTTAAAATACTCATGTCATTGGCGGAATTAAATTTACATATCCATTAAGAGGAACCACACAAAATAATGGATAGCATATTTCAAAGACGGATGAAGGAGCATCATGATAGATTTTTTTTTTTCCAACGCATCATTATTTCCTTATTTTTTTGCTAATCACTACAAACCAAATATTAACTTCGTAACACCTGAAATAATAAATATTAAAGTGGAGCAATAGTTCAAAATCAGACTAGAAGTCCACAGCTACCAATTAATGATATTTTATTGCCTCATTATACAAGAAATAATTCCTTGGACCTCATCTTCATGGATATCTAGGGGCGTTATAGAAATATTATTTCACGCATTAAGAGACATCAATTAGGATAATAATGCTCCAAGAGATATCATAGGTGTAACTCACGCCTAAAACATTAATTCCACTCAAAGTTTAGTGCTTACTAAGACAACAGTCATATCTTTATTCATAGTTCCCAATTATTATTTGCCAAAAAAAAAAAAAACGAACGCTCATTAAGTCTAAACGATGCTAAAAAAACTGAAAAGCAAACATTTGCACAAGATATAATTGTTGATAGCTACCCATAAGCACGCACCTCTCAAGTTAAGGTTGCAGTAGATCGATAGTGTAGGCTTCTCGGCCACCAAGTTTTCAGGACCAGATTCCAGTCACTAGCTATACATATACATGCTCTTGGATTTGATTAACCTATAAAGCCAGAGGAAAAAGGTATCCACACTCATTAACCTATATTAGCATATTATTTTAAAAGGAAAATTAATTATTTCAACTATATAATTTTAACTCAATTATAACTTAATCTTTAATTTTTTTAACTTGTTATAACTTAATTTTTATAATTTTAAATTAATTGTAACTCAATTTTTAAACTTTATTTCTTACAATGTAGTTCATATAGTTTCAACCACTCAATTATTGGTCCTTATATCTTAAAAATTAAAATTAAAAAGATTAAAAATATTTTAAAAGGTTAATATTTGTAATATTTATAAAGATTAAAAAGGTTTAGCAATTTAAAATATTAATAATAAATTTTAACATAATTTTGATTTTTATAATTTTACTTTTTAAAATATAAGGATTAATATTTAAATAGTTAAAACTATAAGGATGAGTTGCAAGAGTTAAAATTTAGAAATTGAGTTATAATCGAATTAAAACTTTAAATATTGAGTTATAACAAATTAAAATTTAAGAATTGAATTATAATTGAAGTAAAATTATA